CTTGCGCACTTCCTATTCTTAAGTTAAAGATAAACTCAAAAAAGAAACTAGCAATAATAAAAATTAAAATTTTTTTTTTGCATCAGACTATAAGTCCCCATAAAGCCTTCGATGTTGCCCCTACAACATAGAAGTTCTATGTTCTCCCTACCATCCAGCTGTCCATTTTTTATCAAGACAGTCACTCACTGTTTGATCTTAGATCCGACGTTTCAAAGTATTTTATTTTTAGTTCTTTTAATATAAATTTTTAGAATATGAAATTTGATATGTGCCATCTTCTCATTGGGTTGCACTTATAAAAAATATTAAAAATAATTTTTCAATAAAATGTAGTGACCAAAATACCCCTTGAAACTTTCCCTCATTTTATTTTATTGAAAATATTTTTTTTATATTTTTCATTAGTGCGAGTTTAATATAGGAATGGATATCCAAAATTTGGTATAAAAAAATTTATAAAAATAATAATAATAATAAAATAATGTAAAGACGTGACATTGTGATTGGAGCAATCTTAGCCTTCCATTAAAAAATGGACAGTTGGATAAGGGGGAACATAGAACTTCTATGTTGTAGGGGGAGTGTAGAAAGCTTTCCCATCCTTTTTTACTACTTCTATTTATATTCTTTTAGGCCTTCCTCTTTCTCATTTAGAGCCTTTCATGTGAACCAAGTCGCACCTCATAACTGGTGTTATATTGGCTCTGCACTGCACATGACCAACCTACCTAAGTCTACTTTTCCTCATCTTATTGCCTATCCAAGCCATCCTAAGTTCTCTCAAATATAGTTATTCTGAATTCAATCATTTTTTGTCCCACTCATCTATCTTAACATTGTCATCTCAACTACATTCATCCTATGGTATGTTATTTGTTGATGCCAAATATTTTGTCCCACAAAGCAAAGCTAGTTCACAGTTGTCTTATAAAACTTCCCCTTGAGCTTCATTGGCATGTGGCGCTCACATAAAACTTTAGTTATACATATCTACTTCGCCACCCAACTCTAATTATATGAGAAAAATCCTCCTCAATCTCTCTATTTTCCTGTATTATCGATCCAATATTCAAAAATACCTTTTTTTTAAGTATTTCTTGGCTATTAATCTTAGCTACTTCATCATTTGCACTTGAATTATTACTAAACTTGCATTTCATATATTTAGTCTTAGTCCAACTAATTTTAAAACCTTTAGATTGTAGAGCATCCCTACAAAGTTCTAACTTTGCATTGACGTCGCTTCTAGTCTCCTCAATTAAAACTATGTTACTCGCGAAAAACATACACTACGGTACATCATCTTGTATGTACCTAATTAACTCATGCAACACTAAAACAAATAGATATGGGCTCCACTCTTGCCACTTGATATAGGCATATTGTCGCTAAAAACTCACTTATCTCTTTACAAGTTATCGGCACATTAATTAGCGCTTCTTCGTACATATCTCTCACCATGTCAATATAGCATATGGATGCTTCTTCCTTTTTCGATAACCACTAAATTAAATCTTTGGGCACCCTATCATAAGCTTCTGGTAAATCAAGAAAGACCCTGTAGAGGTCTTTTCACTTCACCCTGGGCTTCTCTATCACTTGCCTAAGTATGAATATGGCTCTACCTCGCATAAAACTCAATTGATTTTTTGATACACCATTTTCATGCCTTAGTCCTTACCATTATTTACAAAATCGAAAAGGAACGGTTAATCGGACATGGAGCAGGAAGCAGTTTAACCAGCCGATTCTAACCGGGCAAGTCCCGAGAAGTCAAAAAATTGTTGAAAAAAATACAAAAAAAATCTACTAAAATATGAAAAACATATAAAGAATGATTAAAACAAAACATATTCAAATGAAGTTGAAAATTAATGAAATAATTGGATTTTAAAAAATTGATTTGTGCCTATAAGTATTTTAAAAAAATTTTGAAAAAGATGGAAAATATAAAAATGACTATTAATGACCAAAACAATTTCTAACCTTTACCATAATGTAAAAAATATTAAAAAATTTATTACAAACCAAATTCTTTATTTTTGGGATTTTATATACAACTTCTGAATTGTTTTTTAAATACCGGCCGATCACTAAAACCGCCCGAAACCTAAACTGGCCAGTGGCTAGTTTCGATCTAACTGGGTGGTTATCGATTAGATTGCCCAGTTTTTCTAACATGGGTCCTTGCTCATTCCCCCTCTACCACAACTTTATAGTTTGATCCCTCAATAATTCGTACAATTTATTATGTATTCTTTGTTCTTGTAATAGGTACCACAGTACTTTTCCTCCAGTCATCTGGTATTTTTTTTATTCTCAACACCTCATTGAACAGCTTGATCAGCTAGCATATGTCAATATCTCCTATGTATATGGTCCTAAAGCCTTTTCTATCTGCATCCTCCTCAAAACATGTGAATATATTTATTACCTCCAGTCTTATTTCTGCTCAATGGTTCCTCTAAGCATTGCTTGCCCATTCTTTTCGCCATTTAACAATTATTGAAAATAAACTCTCTACCTTTTGTTGACCTTGCCATCTTTCATCGAGACCCTCTGATCCTCACCCATAATGCATTTAATATTGCTCTTACCCTTAATGCATTTAATATGGTTTAGATCTATTGTCTATAGAAAAATTCGACAGAGTTTCTGATGGAGAAAACCCTCTTTGATCGGACCTCCAAACTAGTTGAAATATGAAAATCTATAGAAATTGTGGGGATCGAATTATAATTTAAAATAGAGAAGCCTAATCTAAGAAAATCATTTTCTTCCTCAGATTGCTGGCAGCACGAGCTGATTTTCTATGCCAAAACAATATTAAAATATTATGAATGGATCTAATAAACTAGAAATTAAAAAGAAAAGAAACATCAAACTTACCTACTCTGGCCAATTGGCCCCAGACACCCGAAACCGAGGGTTAGGGTTTAAGCTCCTAGAGTTTTAGGGTTGATGGCTTAGGCTTGAGAGTAAAGTTTAGGGTTTCCCCAAACTAGAGTTTTTTGGAATAAGGATTTTCCCTCTCTGGAATTGAGATTGACTAGGGTTTCTAGGTTTTTCTCTCTCTTAATGGCTATCCCCCTAAATGGAAGATTTCTAGTTTTTTTTGTTGAGTTTCACAATAGTTTCTACACGATTTGGATGCTTATTCCTCGTGCTTATCTCAAAATTTTTGTCAAATCTTAGTCAAAATAGATAGATGATGGAATATGGGTCATTTAGGGTCATTTTTTGGTTGGACAACATCGTTCTTGTCATCTAGAGAATTTTTCTGGATGCCACAGAACACACGTATAGACCTGGACAGGATTTATGGCAAACAAAATTGTTCGGGCCAAAACATTTAAGTTGCACATTAGATTCAAGCGATTCTTAGACTGTGTGGCTTCCCAATTGGATGAAATTTGAGGGATCTAGAGGGCTAGGACTTTTGGGTGTTAGTTTTAGGTTTTCGGGTGTCAAATCAATATCTGGGTTGGTTCCCTATGTTTATTATTATTAGGGCTATCTAGGATGACTATTTGGGGGTGTTGGATAAGCTTAAAGTTTGGGTTTTAAGTCAAAAAATATGACTAAGATCCACTAGGTTATGGTGGTCCCTAGGGTTTACTAGCCTATTATGGTCCTTATAGTTCAAGAACTTCGAAAAAGTGTGGTAATTTCAAAATTGGGTTTCTACATCTCTACACTTCTTCTTCCTGATTGTTGCTAGTTTGAAGATATCTCTTTCACCTTTTGTTCCCAGTTTCTTGTATAAATTAATATATACCTTAAGTTTAACCTTATTATTTTCTTAGTATTTTTATATTCTTCTAAGTTACATTGCCAATTTTTATGACATGATTATCTAATGGCCTTCTGAACCTAGTCACCGCATCACCAAGTTTCCTTATAAAGAGCTCAGCATCTCCATAGATGAAAGAGAGAACTCTCCTCACAACTAGGAGTGGTTAACCGGTTTGACCTGACTTAGGTCTAGGCTGGGTGCTATTTCTGGACCTGATCGGTTCTAGAAGTAGGGACCCGATATCAAGTCAGGTTGGGTCAGGTCTGGGTCTAGGTTGAACCGACCCGAATACTTTAGATGTACTATTTATATTATTATGATAATATAGTTCCATTATATTTTTTATATAGTTAATTTATTATACTATTATATAATATCTTAAAGCTAAAAGCTTAAATGGATTCTTATGGAGAAGGTTTCTCTCTTTTCCCTTCAAGTGTTATTTTCGGTGTTGAGAGTTTGAGGTAAGAGAGAGAGAAAGAAAGAGTTATGATGAGCGGTGCTCGACCAAACCGGGCCTAGGTCCAGGTGCATATTGGATCCCACATGAGAGGGTTTGAGTTGAGGCCAACACCGATCCAAGATATATTAGTGTAAATTATAATAAAATATATTTTAATATATTTTTTATTTATAGACCTAAACCCGATCCGACACCTACTCACGTCCGCTCCAATTTCATCACAACTCATACAACTCTTGAAGAAACCAAGGATATAAAGAAAGGGGAGAATGCTCACCCGATCATTCTAACTTTTTCTTGCATATTTTTAATGTGGCTGGTAAAAATATGAGCCTGATCTTTAATTGAAACGATGAAAAAAAAGTAATCTTTTAATTGAAAGCTTTTTTTTTTAGGCAATTCAGTGTAGAAGACAAACCTCTACCATTTTTACATAGGTGATGTTAGCGTTGGTTTTCAGTGTAGAAGACAAACCTCTACCATTTTTACATAGGTGATGTTAGCGTTGGAAATGAAAACCAGAACGTGATAACTAAGACGTGGGGTACTACCACCAGGATGCAACGACCCAAGCAACTTTCCCCATTGAAAGATTTTTTTATTATGGTACCCTCCATCTTCATCACGTGTAAGGATCTCTCTTTCTTTGAAATCAGTAGCAAAAGAGAAGAGGTATTAGAGGTGCATATCACGCAAGAGACAAAACAAACTCATATTCATTATCAAACTAAGCCATGGCCGCCTCTATTTCAGCCTTGCCTATCTTTCCTTGTTACAATCATGACCACGCTAAGAAATGCCTTGTGCACGATACAACAAATCTCTCTCTCTCTCTCTATAGAAAGGCACTGAGGCCAATTAAAAAAAATAAAAATAAAAAATAAAAAAAATAAAAAGCTACAAAATCCTAATATGGTCTTAAGCTAGAAATCAAGGTGAGGTAGAACTTGATCCTGCCTCTTTTCTTCAAAAATTTTAAATCATGGAAGAAGGAATAAGTTAAAGGGGGCACACTCCTAAACCAATCACAACCGTTGGAATCTAACACTTGGGAAGATCTGACGGCGGAGGAGGAAGTTTTTGGTTAGGAAGCGTCCCATCCATAACCACCCAAGCCATCTTGAGTCCCCAACTTGTGTGCACCTCCAAGTGACAATGCATGAGCCATACACCTGTTTCCACAGCTCACAATAAGCCAGCATAGACTATATAAGCGAGAGAGTGTGTGTCAAGCTGGTTCATCCCTGGAAGTAGGGAGCACTCTATATTCTTCTATTTCTTTGTACTTTTAGAGCTTTGCTTCTAATATTAATGATAGAGGAAGCTTCCATAAGACATAAGCTTTATGAAAGTATAATAAAGTTTCACCTCAAATCCTCGTAAAAAGTACTTTTGGCAACAAAAATCTCCATGATCACTCTAAAATCAACTTTCAATGGCAATAATAAAATTGGAAACTCAAAAAATGGTACAGATCTTGTAAATCTTTGAACACTTATTTTTAGGACAAAATAGATGGTCTCAATAATTTGTTACAATATACACTATTTTTAGATCTTAAAATTTTTATTTCTTTTTACGACCATAATGCCCAAGCCGAGACGATGGATGTAAAGATTTTCTAATGCTTGAATTACAATTTTAGATTAGTTATGGGGTGAGGTTTTACTTATTTTAATAGGGCCCTATCAAACCATTTTCCATTAATGGTAGCAACTCTTAACATTCATAAAAAAAAAAAAAAAAAAAACTACTAAACTTCTAATAATTAACATAACTTGTGGAGAGTACTCAATTGATTTGGGTGTATGACAATGGCAATAGGGTATAAAGCATGCTAAAGAGGGCAAGTCCACTTTATGATGTCAGCTATTTTATGTTTTGCTCTTTTATGGATGTAAATTATTATGTTATTTGCTTTAATAAACCCCTTTTGTTGTACATTCCCAGACAAGTGTAGTGGGTGAAGCTCTTTATTGAGAGTTGTTATGCCACCCAATGGGCAATGAGAGCCTAGTGAACCCTATAGGTACTTAGAACTAAGTTTCAACTGCAAATATAGATTGTATTGCACAGTAAAAATAGGGTTTACAAGAGCCAAAAATAGGGTTTCCTCTTCTTCCACCAACCCCATGTATTCATTATGAGCTTATAACTTATTGTAATACCTTCTTATACTCAATCATTTAGTATTAAAATTAGTAGGAGATCCACTCTAAGCTTTTTAAATACCTCAACAAAGGAATAGAAAGAAAGGAAATACCTGGGTTATCAGCAAGGAAGCGAATGGCCACCCAGCCACCACTGGGGACCCCAACAGTGTTCCTCTCCATAGGATCCACCAAGTTGAATTTTGCAGGATCCTTGGATGGATCATAGTTCCCAAATCCTTGACCCATCACAAAGAAATTGAAGCCATGAAGATGCAAAGGATGGCTCTCTGCACCAAGAATGCCAGTATCTTGCAGCACCACCTCCACACTGGTATTGAACTTAAGCACCACAGCCTTAGTTCCACTAGTCACCATTGTATTGTTGGGTGGTGGACCAATGTAATTGAAAGGGAAAGGTGGGTTGTTTGGGAAGTCTGTAGTGTAAACCCCAGCTAATTTCCCGGAAAAGTGAGTTTGAAGCATGGCGATGGAAGGAAGGACAAAGGACACGTTGTTGATCGAGGCGGTCAATTTGGTGCCATTAGGGCCTTGGCATGTTTGGTTCTTAGGGCAAGGGCTGGTCCCTAGCCCCACAGTGAAGAAGAACTGCTTGTCGACTTTCTGGGGGACATTAGCTGGAAACTGGTTGTTGGCCAGGCTTTTGAGTTTCTGAGTGAAAGACGTGACAAAGTTGGTATCGTTTATGGTTGGAAGGGACGGTGATAGGAGGCGAAACTTAGATCTTGAAGATGAGGAGGAGGTGAGGTTGGTCTGGTACTGCAGGATTCCTGCTGTGGTGGAATTGTCGAAGGTTGCTGGACCAGTGGCGTAGGGGCGTGCAGACATGAGGAATGAGGCGTTGGGGGGTTGAATCTTGGTGGTCAGGAGGACATTCGTGGTTTGGCCAGGTGCTAGGACTACTACATTGGTGGAGAAGGGCTTTACATATATTGCATCAGCTTCGACCACAGTGAGGGAATGATTGGCAATTGAGAAAAAGAGCTCGTCATTGAGCGCAGCGTTGATGAGCCGAAGGAGGTAGGTCTTTCCAGGCGCAACCATAAGACTGAAAGTGTCTGCAATGGCACCACAAAGATTGTTTCTGAGGAAAAACTACAAAGGAAACAAAACAATGTTTTTCCTTTGGTTTATAAAACTGAAAACATTTATAGAGTGCCTGCAAGTCCACAAAAGACTCACTCACTAGTAGACATTTCATTTTTCCTGTACCTTTAGCAGAGCAGTTGTAAAGGGGCCCTGGATGACCATTGATGGTGTAGGAATCTGAGACGTTTGGTGCACCTCCAGTCTGTAGGGCTTGGCTGATCACTGCCTCAGGATCTACATTCCACCATTCTCCAAAAATGATAGGAATATCCTGGTGGGGCGTAGGGAAGGGGAAGGGCACATGTCTCCTAGGAAGAATGACAATGGCTCCATACACAGTGGACCTTAGCCAAGAGGCATGAGCATGCCATAGGAGGGTTCCTCTCTGACCAGTAATGGTGAAATTGTAGACATAAGTTTGCCCTGTTTGGATGGGACACTGAGTCACGTAGGCTGGGCCATCTGCCCATCCACTTTGAAGCTGCCTCACTCCATGCCTAAACAAGTAATATGAACCCAATTCCATTCCATTCAATAACCTTGAAAATATTGTGTTGATCTACGTGGGGCTAGGTCTTTTTTCGATTCTATAGATGGAGGGGGTGGTTTTCGGCTAGATCTTTTTTAGATTCTATAGATGGAGGGGGTGGTTTTCTCCAGTGTTGTCAAATTCGCTTCGCTTCAGTCGAAGTTAGGCTTAGAGTGAAGCAAAGCGAAGACGGGTATTGCCGCTTCAATTCGATTCAGCCGAAGCAAAGAAAATAAAAATAAAGAAATAATATAATATAATATATATATATATATATATAAATATTTTTTATTTTTTTGAAATTGAAAATTTTATTTTAAATTTTTTATTATTTTTATATATAAATATCTAATTTATTTATATCATATTAAAAAAAAAAATTCGAAATCTACTCTCAAATCGGCCAAAGTACCAAATTGCTATAATTTTCAATAAACTGAAAAACACTACTAAACGAATCTGACAACTTTCATTTCTCCAAAAAGAAGCATGAGCTTGACTTTTGGCTTGTACCAACAGGGAAAGCACATTCTCATAAAGTTTCCGTTAGGTAAGGTGTCCAAACAAAAAAATATAGATGAGAGAGTACTATGCTCTAGGGCACGATTCCTAGCGACTAGATAACGATGATTCGACTCATATTATCATTGGGACTATTTACTTTTAACTAAAAAAGTCACAATCACCCCGAGTACTTGACATCATATTTGGCAATTAAGGGCGTGTCGCAAGCAAAACTTTTGTACAGGCTGAACTTGGTCATCGGTTTCAAACCTAGATAACCAATTTGAGCTCTAACAATTATGAGTAATTGTAATCTTATTGTAATAAAGATCTTACTATATATTTTCTCTTATTATTATATGAGATTGTATAGAATGAGATTATTTTTCTTTGGTACAGGGAGATCGCAATTACTTACAACCATCTGATGTGAAATCTGATAGAATGGATGTATCACAAAGTTTGAAAAAAAAAAATTTGAATTTTAAACTTGGCCAATAAAATAAATACAGCTACTCAATTTCACATACAATGGTTAAGATTAATTATGACCACCTTATACCAAAGGTAAATTATCTCATTATATATTTTTCCCAATATAAATATTTATCGCATAAAACAAGAAAGAAAACTTTAAATCTCTTATTTTTCTTTCTATGTAGCCCTTTTTCTCTCATAAGTTACTCAAGATCTTTAACCAAAAGTGCCCATGATCATCAGGTTATAGGATCTTGGAGGTAGTCTTATTTTATTTGTATGAAACCGTTACATACAAATATAATAAGGGATCGTATATAATGAGACCATCTACCTTATATACAAGGATATCACAATTACTTACAACCATCCAATGTGAAATCTAATAGCTTAGGTGTGCCACAACGTTTGAAAAAATTTCTTTTAAAATTTGAACATGGTCAACGGAATAAATGCATCTATCTAATTTCACATTTAAAAGTCAAGATTATTTGTGACCACTTTGTATCAAAGATAAATAGTCTTATTGTATACTTTTCTATAATAATAATAAAAAGAATACCAAGAGAGAGATGAAGATGTGGTGAATGATAGTACCAATGGATGGTGATGTTGTATTGGGCATTATTGACGACTTTGACCAAGACTCGATCACCTTCGCGAGCGATGAGGGTGGGCCCAGGGACCTGACCGTTGACCGTCGCCACCGGCTTGGCATGGCACAACCGCCTAATGTTCTTTGCCACAATCTACAACCCACCACACACATCCAATCTTTTGCATCAAACACATGCATAAATATATAGAATGAGTGTGTGTGAAGCCGATGATTAGAGAGAGAGTTTGTGGGCGAATTAGGAAAGAGACGGAACCCGTTCCTTGGACGAGGCGAGTTACTCGATAAATCCTCATGACTTACAAAGTGGAGCATGAGGTTGAGCTGAAAAGCCTTGAAAAATTATAACATGGGCTAAAAGGCTTTAAAAAATTAAGAAAAAACTGAAAAATTATATTAAAACCGACTTCAAACACAAAACACCTCTAAAAAGTAAAAACATGGTTAAAACAAGGGAAAATATGGATTTAAAAAAACCCAATTTATGATTTGGGATATTTTTAAAAAAGAATCCAATAAAGAAAAGGATGTAAAAAAAAACAAAAAGGATTATTGCATAAAAAACACTCGTGTTGATTTAAAAAAAATAAAAAAACTCGAGTATGTGTGTGGGGATTTTTTAAAAGATAGAAAAATATAAAAATAAGTATTCATGGTCAAAATAGTTTCCTATCTTTAGCAAAATGATAAAAATCATAAATAAACATGTTCTAAATAAATTTCTTATTTTTTGGGTATGTTTAAAAAAAAATTAAAACCCGACTTGGACCACCAACTCGGGACTAGAGGTCTGCAAGGGCTGAAGAGCCCGACTAACCTGGCCATCTACTTACTTAGCAAGGGTCCGAGACCAAGTAACTCGGGCCAAGTAGAAACTACTCGGCCGTGTCCTGATACACTGGTAAAGAAATCAGAAACAGAGAACCCAAGAAAATATGTATGAAGGAATGAGAAAGAAAGAGTCAAAGATAAAATAGAGCGAGGGACTGCAAACGAGTGATAAATAGAGAGTTAACTCAAGAGAGTTGAAGAGCGAGAGACTGTCAAAGAGAGGAGTGAGTTAACCCAAGTCAGAGAGATAAACCTTCACAGAAATACACACACACAGATACAGAGAGAGAGAAGAAGCAATGGCACATGAAGTTCTGAGAGTACATTGAACGTGTAACGCCTTGTTATGCCTGCATGCTTCGCCTCGGCCAACTGTGGGAGTGACCCCATTGCCGAAAGAGCGCAAATCACAACACTCATGACAACCATAGCCCTCATCAAAGAATCCATTTCTTCTATATTCTCAAAACTCCAAGCTCTTGCTGCTCATCACCTGAAACTCACATGGCTTTTATAGAGAGAGAAAATGGGTTCCTGCTATTATTTGCAATACATTCTATTCTTTGTTATTAGGTGACAAGTTATTAATCAAATATCTGTTAGAATTGGTGCGATATGCCAAAAAAGAACTAAGTCTATTTTGGGTTAATGGGGGGTGTGTTGGTCGAGCTGAATTTTAGAGTGAGAACAAAGAAAAATCGATTTCATTTTTAAACGGTTCTCTTTGTTAGAAATCTTTACATCTAGGCTATCCATGCCTAAATTTGGTTGTTTGTCAACACCAATTCTCTCTCTCTTTCTCTCTCTCTCTCTCTAACTCTCTCTCTTTCTCTCTCTCTCTAACTCTCTCTCCCCCTCTTCCGCTCTCTAGTTTCTCTCTCTAAACACAAATCTTGATAATCACTGGTAGCCTTTGTCAAACCTCGTTGCTAAGTTTTTTTAACGGTCTCATTAGTAATGATTGAGATGAACAGCTTATAATGGAACCACCGGTCGTCCAGGCCACTCATTCCATCCATATAAGTTAGGCCGGGCCCGGCCTGAGCTAGCTCGGGCCGTACTCCCCGTACGGTTCGCCCCAAGCTAGGCTTTGCCCCTATCAGATTGGGCCGGGCCGAGTAAAATTAAAAAAAAATAAAATAAGAGGATGAAAAAATAAGAGTTGGGATAGGCCTAAAAGGTGTAGTTTGTACAGAACCGAGGCTTTAAACAATCAAAATAAGTTTACCTTCGAACGATCAAAGAAAAACACATTACAAGATATACTATTTCCAAAATTTAAAATATATTTTTTTCTCATGTCCGTGCATCTTGATGTCGAGGTCTAAATTTTTTAGGACCAGGCCGGGCCGAGCCGGGCCAGGCCACCAATACATTGCCACCCCTACTAAAAGTTATAACAATTGGGGCTGTCGAACACTGTTCGAAACATGGACAAGCCTGGGAAGATTATTGCATTCCTCTCTCTCTCTTTCTCTCTCTGCATTTTCTCTTTCTAGAAGTAAGGGATGTTCGTTGGCATTGTTGGTTGGTGAAATCTCTTCTTCTCTCTCTAACTAACTTAAGAGAGACGACCCAACAAGCATCTTGCAATAACGTCAAATAATGGATTGGTTATATCATCTTAGATACTTTTCGTTACGTGATTAATTGACATCTCACCCAGCTATTAGAGTAAGCTCTTGGTCTCGTGAAATTGTTTTTTAAAAAATAATTTTGTATGAAAATATTCTATCATGCAGTTAAATGTAGGAATATTTTTATATTAATTAGTTGTCAATTGATGTTAAAAGATATACTAAAAACCAAATAATATGAAAATATTTTTGCACTTAATTATATAAAAGAATGTTTTCATGTGAAAATGTTTTTTAAAAAATAATTTTACACGAACCAAACAAACATGCCATAAAATAATCCTATAGAAGAGAGAGAAAGTAGAAGAGAGAGAAAGGGCGATTTGGATACAGACAGCTTGTATGGTTGGATTGGAAGGTCCTCAAGCCTCTATCTCCTTGTTTTTTTTGCTAGTCTCTTTCCATCCTAGACGAACATGTGTATTCGGTACCCAAAGCAACACATGTGCATCTCTCTCTATACCAGCACTTATACCAGCACTTTTAAGCTCTCTATACTGCCATTTTTAAGCACTCTCTCTCTATACCAGCATTTTTAAGCTCTCTATACCGCCATTTTTAATCACTCTCTCTCTATACCAGCACTTTTAAGCTCTCTATACTGACATTTTTAAGCACTCTCTCTAGATTTTTCCTTTTTTTCTTCTTAGTGTAGTAGCTCTCTCTCTCTAGAATTCCCCCGTTCCACCCCAAAACAAAAAAACAAAAAAAAACACCCTATTTGGTAGTAAGAATTTAAATTTCCTTTTTTTACTTCGTAGTATATACTCCCACCAGTATTTTTCTCACTCTTCCACCTTGTGTTGAGTATTTGAGAAAATACTCAATTCCATGAGTAATTTAAGGAAAAGTTGATATAACTTTGCAAGCTAATGTACCTCAAAACTGCAGTAGAAAAGAATTTTTGGAAGTTGGAAAACTAGTAAGTTATCTCAACCTTGATATATATGAATATAAAGAAAAAAAAATTGTAAGTTCTAAAAATAGTATATCTTGTAACAAGATATCTAAATTGTCTATTTTCAATATTTTCAAGTGTTTATAGATATATTTGATCCATACTATTTTTAGAATTTAAAATTTCATAATGTTAAAATTGTTAAGGTGTATTTTCAAGAAACCATATTAGTTTTTATGCTATTTTATTATGAGTAATGTAGTGACGTTGTACTTGTAAGTTGGTATACTAGGAAGTTATGAAACTACTAAGTGGTCAGTAGTTATAGTTGTAGGTTAGTAGTTATTGTTGTAAGCGGGTAGTTATTGTAGGAAATATGATTGTAAGAACATTTATTTAAAGAGATGTTTGTGGTGGAAACATTGGGTCACATATATTAAGATTAATCTCGGGTGTCAAGATTGTAATGTTTTTGTGTACTCCTGGGTCACATGTTTTAAGGTTAATCTTGAATGTCAAGATTGTAATGCCTTTGTGTACCTTTTTTTTTTTTTTGGGGTAAAATTTGTATCCCCATTTTTTATCGCTGAAAGCAAGTTTTTCTTCACTTCATCTTGGTTGTTGTTCTTCTTTTTATTTGGTTGAGTCTTGGGCTAGTATAACATTGTTACACTAATTGAGAAGCGGATTTTTCTAGTACTGTGGTTTTCATCTTTCTCTACATGGTATCAGAGCCATAAAGGTGGTAGTGATATTGTCTTGACCCTTGATGAAGAAGATCAATTGACTTTTTGAAGATGGATTCAGGTGGAAGGTCCAATGATTTTAATGTTGAGTTGAGTACTCAACTCAATGCGGTTTTTCTATTTCTCTATTCCTCTTAAAGATCTGGAATCTCTATTTGGAGATATCTCGTTGATCTGAAAGAACCTATTTGAAGGCACGAATGAAGTGACTTATCATTCGTGGGGTAAAGATGGAGTATATTCCCTATGTTGTTTCTATTCAAGGGTGGGTTATGAAGACAACCTCAGTGGAGTTTGAGAATCTCTTTGGTGACCTGTTAAATGGCCAGATTTTCAACTTTGGGAAATGGTGGCGATGATCACGTATGTGTGGTCTCATTTCTAGAAAATCACTTTAAGATGGAGTGTTAAAATTGTTAACGTGCATTTTCTAGGAACCATATTAGTTTTTATGTTATTTTATTATGAGTGGTGTAGTGAGGTTGTACTTGTAAGTTTGTGTAGTAGGAAGTTATGGAACTATTAGATGGTTATTAGTTATTGTCGTAGGTTAGTAGTTATTGTTGTAAGTGAGTAGTTATTGTAGGAAATATAATTGTAAGATTTAAAAAGATGTTTGTGGTAGGAACATTGGGTCACATGTATTAAAGTTAATATCAGGTGTCAAGATTATAATGTCTTTTTGTACCCCTGGGTCACAAGTTTTAACGTTAATCTTGGGTGTCAAGATTGTAATGCTTTTGTGTAGCCCATTTTTCATCTTTGAAAACAAGTTTTTCTTCCACCGCATTGTGGTAGTTCTTCTTTCTACTTGGTTGTGAATATTAGGCTAGTGTGACATTGTTACACTAATTGAGAAGCGGATTATTCCAATAGTATGGTTTTCGTCTTTCTCTACACATAATTAGAGTTGAACATGAATTTCCAAGTTATCATAAAGAGTTGAACATGAATTTCCAAGTTATCATAAGGTTTCTAACACTAGAACTACATCTTCGAACAAAATTTAAAGGTGTCGCCTTACTTGTTAGTGTAAGATGAGCACGTCATACAAACCTCATCCTCAACTAAATTATACAAAAGGCCGTGCTCAACATTTAGAGCACATATACTATGATTCACCGAGAGCAGTACTGCTCAATTTAATCCCTTAGTCAAAATACTTATTGGGGATATTTTTTTTGGTCTGAAATTTTGGGAACCACCTAAGAATCACTAGACGAGTGTGAAAATTTTGAGTTTTGTGTTTTTTGGCACTTAGGTCTCACCCTTCAGAAATTGAACGGTTTTTTTCTAGTACATAAAATTCTTTCTGTTTGTTATTAAAGTTAGTCTACATTCCCAAAATTTAAAGTACTAAAAATATTTCTATATTGGCTTTACCTAGGGAGTAGACAAAAACCTTTTTACTTTTCTCTAGTAAGAATGCTCATATTGTTTCATTGAAGATTTATCTAGGTATATTTGTCCATTGTTATAACTTACAAGGTACACTGTAATAATTTGTCTCAAGCTTCTTTCTCTACAGCAAAGATTACCGAGTCTCTTGATTTGAAGAGGAGAAATGGGGCAGAAAAACTATTGTGGTTTGCATGAGGACGCAACTTTAAACAACCAATTTAACCCCAAACTTTGTCATGAGATGTAATTTGGTGTCAAAAATTCTTAGGATGGTCTAAAAATCATTTTCTATCTCTAACTATAAAATTTTAAACTTCAAAAGTGGTTCAAATCAAGTAGATCTTTTAACCCATGAAATCTTGAAAGTGGACAGCCCAAATAACTTGTTGCAAGCTGTGTTATTTTTTAGGATTTTGAAATCTCTTTGATATATATATATATATATATATATATATATATATATATATAGTAGTGTTGTTAGTATANTACTACTAACTAACTAACTAGTAAGTAGTACTATTAAATTAATTATTATAGTTATTATTAGTTA